AAAAAAATATATACATAAAAAAAAATTTATTTTTTTAGTCTCAAGTAGATATTAGTTTCGAAAAAGTGCACATTCGATATATATATTTAGAATTAACACCCTGAATGTGTATAATACAGCATTTCAACCCTCAAAACACATATTGGCATGCAAAAACATTTTCCCAAAGCAATTTGCATGATACGTCACTCGACTCTCACTCTCGAGAATAATATACCAATAATGTAATCACTTACAAAATTTACGGTTCTCGTAATCAGTGGATAAAATTAATTTGAATGAATTATAAGTTATATTTTATTTAATTTTTAAAAAATTTCCATCGTGCGCGTAAGACAAATATCTTTGTGTGTACAAACATTTACCATAATCAGAAAAATTCGGACACTGTAAAAATCATGGATAAATAATTTAATTTATAAAAATAAGTGCTTAGAAAAATATTAATTTGAAAAAATGTCCCACACAAGAGGTCGACCAAAGTGTACAAGTGATATTCAAAATATTTGTCAAAATTAAAGCTGTTGACAAATTTTGAAAAATAAATCTCTCGTAAGTCTAAGCCTCGATGAAAAAAAAAAAAAAAAAATTTGGTGCCGTTGTGTTAATAGTTACGGTAATGAACAGTAAGTTGCCTGTGAAGAACAAAGATTCGTACGAAAAAGCCAACACCTAAATAAAATGCCCCCGTTAGTATCCTCACCATGGCGATTATTAGGCTTCCATACCCGATAGTCTATAAAACATATATATTTATTTATGACTGTTGGTGAGTAGACGTTAGAATAGATGAGTACTCTGGAAGGTGCGTTAAGTAGTGACAAGAGTTACTTTGGCTTAGCAAGTAGATTTTCCCAAACGCAATTTTTATAATGATCGTCTCTTAATTTTTTGTTTTATTTTTTTTTTTTCAATAATACAATGTCTGTTTCCTGATTGAAAAATCTTATTAATCTGTGTTATGTGAATGAAAATAAACGTATTTCTGTTAGATATATTTCAAATTGAAAGTTCCGTACGTTTCCTCTCGATCGATTATTTAATTATAAAAAATTTAATCGTTCATTCAACCCCCAATGCGAATTGTTGTAAAAAATTTGAATAATCAAACAAAAAAAAAAGAAAGAAAGAAACAAATTATTTTGACAATTTGTGCTTTGCTAAACCGATTTTTAAAATATTCGGTATAAAGCAAGAAAAATATGTGACTTACCGTAATAGTCGAATGCATGAGCTAAGGAGGACAGGGAAAAATTTTATTTCATTAGAATTTTTTTTCTCTGGCGCGTTACATACTTAATTATATCTACATTCAATGTATAAGCTTATACACATTGAATTTACTTATACTTAAATTTGTTGCTGAAATGACACTACATAATTTTCGATACAACATAATCATACTATTTACCTATTTTATCTTACCAAAATACTATAGGTTTAATATATACTTATTAGCTAATTAAAAATTTATACTTTGAATGTAGATGAATACAAAAGTGCATAACTTTTTGCTTAATACTGTGCCGGGATAATAAGATCAGCGTTTCGGAGGAAACGTACATATTCAATGCCATGTAATTACCTACTTGAAGACAAAAAAATTGTTTATAAGACCTAGTGAATTCCTCCGAGATACAAGTTATCAAGTTTGTTTCTAATAATACAATATTATTTTCCAATAATAATTATATTTATGACATAAAAGAGATAAACAATATACATATAGCTTTTTCTGCTGTTACTCGACCCTCATGCTACATCATTATAGCAATAATATAAAAAAAATAAAAAAAAGAATTATTGCACATGCAATAATGCTTCAACACTGAAGCCTTTCTGTCTTCATATTAATTAACAGATAATTGTTATAGTTGGCAATTGAAACACTCAATGGCAGTTTGTAATCTTCAGAAATAAAGTCTTGTATGATTTGAGTAATTAGAAAATACGATTCATAAAAAATAATCTCGATATCTTCACATGTATGTCATAAAAATTAAATAAGAATTATTACTGCATCTTTACATTTGTAACAAATATAACGACATCATCTTGTGTTAGGTGTATGTATAGGTGTTGCACCAACATTATACGAAATTCTTCACTGTTTACAGTTCCGATCGAAATAATTGTGGTTCATTTATGTAGGCACGCGGATGAATCAGCGGTTCATTTAAAAATTGCCTTGTCACACTTATACCCACCCCCTAAGTTACTCTAGCATTCATAAACACCGATGAACGCGCTTTTATGCAAAAATCAATGGTGCACCGTTGTTAATTGGACGCCAAACTGACTTAGTGAGGTGAGTACGTAGAGTTTTATTCGTTTTAAAAATTTATTCATTCCCTGTAGTTTTATTTTTTTGTTTTTGTTTTTTTGTTTGTTATTATTTGTTAACAACGTGTGTGACGATGGAAATAAATCAAATTAGTCATGTTAGCAAGTGAGCACTTTTGACAGCAAAAAAAGTCTAAGTTAATCTTACTGAATTACGTTCTAATGCACAATGAACAATTACAACTCCCTCCTCCAAAAGCAAGCATAATTATTAGAAGCAAGTAAGCATGTTTCTACGTAATTTAATTAATTTCTGGTGTCGTAAAAAATTCATAAATTATCAGATCTTTCAAAAATAATAAAAATAAATTCATTTTTCAAATCCACATCTGATATTCATGTACAACACAAGAAAGTTTAGTAATGCATACTTTACAAAAAAATTATTATGGCAGCAAAATATGTCACAATGTTAGTAATAAATGTTACATAATAAAGTTTCAAGCTGATTACTTGTTCCTTTAGAAAGGAGAATATCAACGACGAAAATTTTCCATAAAAAAAAAGGATATTTATGCACTCATTTATTTAACATGCAATTGACTAACGCACACGTAGAGTCAAAGAAATTATCCGAAACTCAAACAGATGTTTGTAATGAATTATTTTCGTCGTTGTATTCGTGTACAACCAAAAGTGCATAGCAATAAATAATAGTCTACTACCATCGATGTAACATAAAAATACCACAGTTGGAAAAAAAGAAGTAAAAAAAAAAAAAAAAAAAAAAAAAAAAGTATTAATAATAAATCTGCATTTATTGTGTTTATGCTGTATTCTTGACCCAATCTTCGTTTTGAATGAGATAATTTTTGTTTTTTAATATTTGACGTGAAACATATCCGTCATAGTGTACCTACGTGTTAGGTAACAAAAAAACAGGTGCAGAAATTTTAAACAAACGTCGTCAGACAGCTGCGCCTATGTTTCCATGTCTTCCCTGGCAGAGAATCCCTGCGGTTACGTAAAAAAAAGTGTGCAGTGCATGAGAGAGCGTGTTTCTCTGCGTCTGCGATCTATGACGAGTGAATTGAAAGACTTAGCCTTATCGTACGAATGGTGTTATAGTTTATTATACATAAAAAGTCCGTGAGTCGACTACCTATCTAAGCTGTTGTTTTTTTTGCGATTGTGGTTAATTTTTGCTTGTGCAAGAAGACGAATATTTATACAGACAAAAATGGGTTTGTTAAGGTTAGTTACAATTTTTGGAGCATTCTCGTATTTTTTTAGGATTTGCATTTGTCACTTATTAAATACGATTGTTTCTTTCTTGTCAATATTTTTTTTTTTTAAAGATGTTTGATACTTTTTTTAACGAAAATATAAAAATATACAATTATTTTTTTAATTAATACAAAAAATTATCCATTAAAATGAAAAAAAATTTCATACATTATTACCTGATATGTATATTTATAGGTTTGTCATTAAAAGTAGCATAGCAGGTGGTGTTATTTATTACACAATAGAAGAAGGTCTGTGGTCTAGTCCAGAGGAGTCTGGAAAATTATACAACAAACTTTACAGCAGTATTAGTCCATTAATCCAGCAAAACTTGCCTCGAGAAATGGTTCAAGAAGTAAGTAATTCAATTTTTCATTGCATTCTGAATTTAATGTTGTTCTACTTTTATTAGCATGCATTTTTAATTATTTTTAGATACATACCATACCGAGTCCTGGAGTTTTAAAAACATGTGCAGCAAGCTATTGGAATCAAGGAGTTATTGCAACTGTCGATTTCGTATCTAAATTGCCAACCCACGTATCCAATGGCATCGAATGGGCCCAAAAAGAAATAACGAAAAGTAGTTTAGCAACCAACGATACGTCAAAAATTACTGAAGTTAAATAAACCTAAATAATTTTAATTTATTCTTAGGAGGATCTTTTGCGAGAGAATGAAAATAGAGGAATTTAATTTATTTTTGCGACCAAGATATTGTTGAATTTTA